AAAATCTATGCTACTCAGCCAACATCATTATAAGACCTGCGACAAAGAATTATGAAGTGTGCCTTCAAATTAATCCTCAAATATTGCAAAATGTGCGGCAACGTTTTGAGCAAAATCTTTATTATTGCATGGAGAGTCATGGTGGCCATTTTCAACATTTACTTGCCAGCGGGTCAGTTCATTCTTCATTTTTAAATTAATATGCTGCCAAATGTATTGATCTCCACTAATGATGATGTATTAGTTTTACTTAAGCTTTAAATCAATAAATCTTCGAAACTACTGAACTGAACTACATTAACTTTATATCATTATAAAGGGAATTGAAACAGCTTTAAAATAAGCTATCACTCGACCCCCCTTTCCATTTAAGATTTTGGGGGTGGTGTCACCCCGCATAGGGGGCTGCACGTGCTAACGTGATTTTTTGTCAAACTTGTGTCCCCGTCGAAAACAAAATCGACGGGTCTGAGCGTTTTTCCAAAAAAAAAAAAACTGAGCTGCCAGTAAATGCGTCTGTTTCGTTTTCGATGCGCGACCCTGTATATGTTAAGGACTATTGATTGGGGACCTTTGAAAGGATGTATTTAGGTGAAAAGTGGTCCCATCTAAACTTCAAAAAAGTATGTTGAAGCTTTAATGTTCTAGTTTTCAGGTTTGTAAGAAAATATTTTAGGAGCAACGGTGCTCATGCAGTTCTAACAGATAGTGCAAACAAATTTTTTGCAAAAGTTTTGCCTTCTTCTCAGCCCACGGGCTTGAAACATTTTTTTTGTTAGGCCATCAGACGGATGAGATAGCTTGTTTATTCAGCTCCAATATCCTGTTCTTAAAACTCGATACGATCATTTGGCGCTGAGATATCTGATTGATATCTCGGTAAGCAGTGATTACACGGAGAACGTAAAGGTACTTCAGAAAACTGGAATATATCTACCAGAAAGGTTGTTAGGGGCACATATAGTACCAACCACTCACCATTAGATAAAAAATGTCCAACTTTTCTATATTATCAACAGCAGTACAACTTGAAAATCCTTTTTTAAGAAAGAAGAAATTTTAGCCAAAATTTTAGAATATTGCATCATTTATGACACACGACTATGTAAATAACTTCCAAATTCAACGTATTAGTACTAATACTGCTCATGATACTAGCGAGCTAGATTCTTTTTTACAAAATCCTGAAATATCTGTTAGAATTTATCATATGAACATCAGAAGTATAAAACATAACTTTGACTACTTTAAATTAATTTTGAAAATAATACAAAGTGATATAGATATAATCATTCTATCCGAAACATGGCAAGTGGGCGATGTGACTCTGTTTCATTTAGAATTGTATAATTTTGGTAACCATAATCAAAACGATGGAGTGATGGTGTATGTACGAAACAATCTGCCTTATAACCATACCATATTTACAATCAACAATGAACTAAAAGGTATCAATCTAACAATGCAAATTGAAAATCGTAGAGTCAAAATTACTTGTGTTTACCGACCACCATCTTCAGATCCTCATACATTTATAAGAGACATAGATGAACTTTTAAAAAACAATGAAAACAATCACCTTCATAATCAAATATTTATAGGCGACATCAATATAAACATTTTAGAGGAAAATTCTATGGTGAAAGAATATTTAAACATTTTATCAAGTAATGGTTTTTTATCATACATAAATAAAGTAACACGACCCACCAGTAAAACCTGCATTGATCACTGCTTTATAAAGGATATTTCCAATATTTTTTCTTACATGCCTATTATCTATGAAACCGATATTACAGATCATTATTCCACTGTATTATTGATATCTTCACAAAATAAAAACCAGAACTGCCCAAGGGCAAAAAATGAAAGAAACCTTGAATACAAATATTTCACTGACAACTCAAAATTAATATTTAACGCACAAACGGAATCGTGGGACGAAATTTTTTTAACAAATTCTTTAGACGAAGCTACAAATTTATTAATACACAAAATTCAAAAAGTAATTGAAGTTAGTACTAATAAGGTTAAAATAAGTCACAAGGAAAAAAGCAGAAATGGTTGGATGACCAAAGGACTAATAAAATCTGCAAACGAAAAAGAAAGACTGTATAAAATCATGAAATATTTATCCACGAAAGAAAATATAGATCATTATAATCAGTATAAAATCAAATTTATAGAAATTTTGAGAAAAGCAAAAAAAAATTACTACATAAAACAATTGAATAATAATTCACATGACTCTAGACACCTATGGTCCACTGTCAATGATATATTCAATAAGTCATCCTATTCAAAAAACAATATTAATGAAATAAAAACAAAAACAGGATAGAAAACAGACAATATTCAGCAAATATGTGATGAGTTCATAGAATTTTTCACGAATATAGGAGGAAACTTAGCAAATAATATCAAACAAAATACTGATATTCATCTGCATGAAACAAGACTGAATAATTCATTTGTATTAACTGGAGTAGACTATCAGGATGTTTTCAATGCCATTATGACTCTAAAAAATAAAAAAAGCCCTGGAGTTGACGAAATTAGAGCATCTAAAGATACTGGCCAAACAAATAACAGAACCACTTGCTTATATCATTAACAAATCCTTCCAATCTGGAGTATTTCCATCAGCTTTCAAGACAGCAATCATCATACCTATCTATAAATCTAATGATAATACGGACGTCACTAACTATCGACCTATTTCACTTATATCAAGTTTAGCTAAAGTTTTTGAGAAATTACTCCTTAATAAAATGATTAATTTTATTAATAAATTCAAAATTCTAAATTCAAATCAATATGGTTTTATAGCGGGCAAATCTACAACAGATGGGGTATTAAGTATAGTAGATGAAATAACCCAAAATATAGATGGAAAAGTACCATCGATATGCGTATTTGTGGACTTACAAAGAGCGTTTGACACAGTTAACCACAATATACTTTTGGAAATCCTAGAAAGAATAGGTTTTCGTGGAAAGATGTATACTTTAATGGAAAATTATTTATCAAATAGACTGCAATCAGTAAAATTATTAAGCTCGTATAGTAAAGAAATGTTTGTTAAATGTGGTGTTCCACAAGGTACAATTTTGGGTCCTCTGTTATTCAATATTTATTTAAACGATATATTCAAAATTAACAGTACTGGTAAAATAGTAAGTTTTGCAGACGATACTGCTATACTCTATAAAGGTAAGGATTGGAACGACTTAAAAGATATTATCCAAAATCACTTTTGCAAAATTATTCAGTGGTTTAATAACCGAAAATTAACAATTAACTTTACTAACACTCATTTTTTACCATTTTCATCACTATCTAATCATCTACCAAAATATAACCACCTTCGGTTTAAGGTAAATGATAAAAATACAAAAATCAATAGAGTTAATGATACAAAATATTTAGGAATTTATCTAGATCCCCACTTGAGATGGGATGCACATATTTCTCACATACTAAAGAAATTTAGATTCATAGCATATAAAATAAAATTTCTAACCGGTATATTAACTGAATATCATCTACGAATAATATATCAAGCTTTAGTCGAGCCACACATAACATATGGTATAGTAGTGTGGGGTGCTGCATGCACGACATACTTTAACGATTTAGATGTACTTCAAAGAAGAATTTTAAAATCAATGTTAGGCAAGTCAAAATTATACCCAACTAATGACTTATATAATGATGCACAAGTATATGATACTAAACAACTTTACTTCTTACATACCATCACTCATTATCACAAAACTATTAGTGAATACGACATAATTAATCATAATCATAAAACCAGATATAAATTATGCGCAAAAAATGTTCCTAAACCAAACAAATCCCTAATGAAACGATGTCACCTGTATATCTCCAAAATTGTACGAACATTTACCAAATAATTTAAAACAATTACGCAATAAATTAGGCTTAAAAAAAAATTAAAAAAATTTATTAACACGATTGTGAGAAATCAAATTAATAAAATAATCTCAAATATTACACAATAAATGCTCTACCATTCTTACCAATAATTTCTTTTTTCTCTCTATTTTATTATATTTTGCAATTCAACATACATATGATCCATTATATTTATTTACTCGTTTCTTGTTCCCTGTATATTAGAGTAAATAAATATTATTATTATTATTATTATTATTATTATTATTATTATTATAAAAAACCTAAAAACAGCAGCCTTATCATTAGCAGTTCCAAAAATGCGACCGTTTTTCGAACACAAGGTAAAAAATAACTTTTTGTGACGTTTCTAAAAGCAATACTAAGAAAACACAAAAGGGTTTTCTCAAAGATTGCAATCAAGCCTTATATAAGATTCATGCCAGATTTCAGAAATATCTTTACCTTCCATGAGAACCATTGCTCCTAAAACGTTTTGGCTACAACACCTAAGAACTACAATTTTAAGGCTTCAAAATTCTTTTTTTGAAATCTAGATACGACAATTTTTCACCGAAATGACCGAGAAATCTGGATTTTTTTCTTGCTACCTTAAATTACTTGAGCACTAATGAGGAGCCCCGCACTTTACTCATTTTTGATGACATTGAAGACGGGAGGTCTAGATGGTGACTACGGCTTCATAAATGTAATCAAACGATTGCGATTTGATTTAATTAAGGCTAGTTCGATCGATTCAAGTAAACTGTTCTTAGAATCGGAGCTTAATGAGACTAATCACACATACGTAGTTGTCACATAGCTCATTATATTTTTTAATTGGCCTAACTAAAATTTTAATTGCTTTGATTAATTTTTTTGTTGGAAGGGTCAAAAATCGATTTTCTGTGTTGTTCTTTAAGGGGGAACCTTTGCGGGATAGCCCGTAGGATATTTAAAAAACCTCTGCATTCGTTTTTGTGTCTTCGAGATGCATTTTCGTACGTCAATGGTAGTAACGAACTTCGGACAAAGAGAAATGAGTGACGGCTGATACCTCGAATCTAACGTTTCCTTACATGTTGAATCATTTTCTCGCGAATATCTTGAATTTGTGGCGAATATTTCTGTAAGCACCTCTTGATCTTTTTTTTGTCAGGATGCCCATCTTCAAGTGCGGCTTCATCTAGCAGATTGTCAAATACTTCTTCAGAATGACCATCCCATTCATTCTGAATATCCAAGAACTCATCTTTTAACTTCTGTATTACACTGTCTGGTTCCTCAACAACCTAACATAAAAGGTAAATAGCATGGCGTATAAATTCAACAAATCTGTGAGATTTCGAAAATGGAGTAGTACATATAAGACAATACTATAAATCTGCCACTCCATTACAAAGTGACGGCAGTGTAAATAATAACTTACGTGAAGCAAATTGAATAACATACAATATCTCCCAAGATGCAATTTTTTTGATGGATATCACGATTGAAGAATATTAGAAAATACGAATTCACTTCAATCTGTTTAGTCTGTTGGAGTCACAGAAACATAGGAAGGGGCACACATACGTATGCTTAAACGGGTCAAGTTAGCAAGCTCAAATTTAAGAGGATAAAATCGATACACGAATAGTATACTCGTATTATAGCGTAAAAACAACAGTTAAGCATTTCTAGACTTCTCAACTATTTTCAAACGAAGTGGGGAGATCACGTGATACCTTATTCTAAAGCTCGTTGTACTCAATAATTCTAGACTATGGAATCACTATATTCCGAAATAACGGACTCGCAGACTACTAAAGTGGAGCGTTTTGGACACTAAATCACGTATAGCCCAACAACCAATAGTCAAAACGTTATAGCATGGTACCAATATTCATCTATTAAAAGAGTCTACCTAAATGTGCGATGAAATATGGGACATTCGGTTTTAAAAAACGACAGAGAAGAATACGAGTATACATGTAACGTACTGTAACGTTTTGACGATTGGTTGTTGTTTCAAGATTTCCCGTCATTAAATTAGTTTTGAGAAATCACAGATTAGTTTGATTATATTTCCTAGAGTGAACATTGCCAAAGTGAAAGCATAAAGCACGGACCTGGAAAAAGAAACTAAATTGACTGTTGCATCCAACGAATTCAGACCAACAGAACAATATTTGTACAAACAGGAACTTTCTACATTTAAATAAAGGCTAGGTATTGCAAAAAAAATGTCACGGACTGACTTATGTGTCGGGCGATCAGTCCGTGAGGAAAAAACTGACACCTGTAATGGCTATTTTGAAATCACCCAGCATGGATAACAGCAATAGTGAGAATGCAATAATGAGAAACAATGTGTATAGTGTATTCTGATCATATCTTCTCTTTTTACAGATACAGAAAGAAGTTGAAAAACAGGTAAGTCATAATTACTATTCAAAATGTTCATGACCTGTCAGCTGATTTTGAAGATGGTTTTAAAGCTACTCTAGGGGAGCAACTAAGTGAGGAATATTTTTGTAGCAACATTTGGTTAAAACTATGACAACTATAATCCCAGTCGTCTATTGTTTGCAATATATAGGAAGGGCTACCAGCTCGGGCGAGAATGACTGATGCGCAGCTTATATTTCTTACGTCACATTACGTAGGATATCAATAATTCGACAATATGAAGGCAATATACGGAAATACGTCGAAAGTATCAAATATGTATATAGGCCGGAAAAGCGGGATATTTTTATAAGGAAATCCTACAAATTGGCGAGAGTCTTTTTTGGTTCGTTAGATTATTGCCTCCAGAAGTTCAAATTGACACCTTGGTAGCGTTGGAGCGTTTGTCACCATTTTGATAAACACGTTGTAACGCTTCCTTTCCGCAAAAAATCCAGAAAAGATGGAATGCAATGAAGATTCCAACTTTTCTGCACAATCACACAAAGGAGGTTACAATTAGCTTCCGGTAGCTCAGTCAGTGGCATGAAAACATCTACAGGCGTGTAGCTATATGTCGACCATGGCATGGCTAGAGGATAGAAGAACAAACAGAACACAAAAATTTAACAGATTTTATTTAACAAAAAAAAAAGGCATTTTCATTACATTACAATTTTACAAAAATAACAAAATAAGTTTTACATCTTTGGCGCTGCTATAACGCTATCGACTTATCTTTCGCTGGTCCATTTTTACTCGACTGAAGCCAGGATGGCCAGGGGCTTGAAGGGGAGGTCCCAGTTATGAGGGGTGACCTCCATATAGTGGCTTCACAACCAGTTGTAGGCGAAGTTAAAGGCGATGGCGCTGCCAAGGCACATGCATGGGTGAAAATATTGGCCAAGGCTAGGCAAAGTGAAAGGGAAAAAGAAAGGGGGTGGCCCCAATCATTTTTGTCCTATACGGACACACATTTTAGAAAATTCTAGCACATGGTGCTATATAACCTTGTGCTACTGAGAAGAAATTTCTAGCCGTTGTTCGATCGGCGGCTCAAGTGAAAAAGAAGCGCGAGGAAGATCGCAGATCAGGAACTCCGCATCAAGCGCTCCAAGCGGAAAATTTTCCAAGCAAAAAAGCTAGAGATGGGATTAATGAAATGATAATCGAGAAGTGATTTAATAAATACGATCGGACGGTGAAACCGTTACAACGTTTGATCGATCATCTCGTAAATCATCGTACTTATGTAAGAAAGTAGCAGAAACAAGTTTGTAATGAATTAAATACATCATTCTGTTACCGTAAGAATTTGTCGTGTTGTGAACAGATTAAAAAATGATGGGCCAAAAGTACGTTTAGTAGGTAATGTTTAAAAAAGCACTACTATTTTTTGTAGATAATAAAATTGGATAAAAAAAGGTTTTTTACGTTTTTTCGAAACCTTGACGGTTCGTGAAATATACGAAGTGAAAGTTTGTATTAAAACGAGCCCAATCCGCATATCTACGACCAAGTGAGACAATCCTTTTACTTTACATAAAGTATGGAAAATGTCATATTTCTTAATAATTTTTAATATTTTCATTATGAAGATCAAGTCACTCACACCCATCAGTCTGTTGGCGATTTTAATACTGAGTAATTTCAGTAACTGCTGCAGCTATTTTAATAGAAGATGAGATGTGGGTAAAGCTGCTTTATAGCATCTCTCTCTCTCTTTTCATTAAAATTGTTGCAACTGATTAAAGTGAGTGGCTTGTATTTACATTATGAAGACATAAAATATCCGAAAATAGACTGAATCGGCTAATGATCTTAAAATATAGCCTATGTAATGCTCTTTTAAAAATAGTATAACATTTGTAGATTCTTTCTACTAAAAATTGAATATCACCAAGTTTTGCCATTGAAGTCATAAAAGAAGTCGTACTACAAATAAAAAATAAGTGCAGCTGTCTTTTATATCCAAATCGCTATCATTATGTCACTGCGAGGAACTTTTAGCATACCGTGCTAGTTTTCGATGAAATGAGTACTATTTATGGTAGCTCAGAAAAAAAATCATATCTTAGAAGTTCTTTATAGCCATAACAGACAGAGAAAGGAGTAAAAGGACCTTTTGAAAAAAACTTAAAGTGGCAATATCTCGAAAACTAGAAAACTTTTACCAAGATCATGTTCATTGTATCTGGTTGATCTGAAGCCAATCTACCTCCCATGTCACTCTGGTGTGTTATTTCGGAGACACCCTTTATGTATCTAAGGGTTAGAATGTTCAAGGCCATGGAGTTTGATAGATTGCATACTCAGAAGAGTAGTTGGACATACTGACTAGGAGATCAAGAAGGTGCGATCAACTAGTGAACGAGCATTGGTTAGTACAGGGTCGGCACGAAGTGCCAAAGATGGCCGAGTTGTCAGGCTTAGCCTCCATACCACAACCACGCTCTTACTAGCTATGATTATGGCGTATTTGGAATGTTTCGCTAGTATGAAAGAGGGAAATTTGTATTTTGGGCTGGTGATACCTAGATATGATGGAGTTTTTTTTTAAATTGCCGACAAGGAAAAATGTTATTTCAAGAATAGTACAAATAACCGCTACCTCTTGGGAATACCATTTATACTTATGAGTTTGTAATCCTTAGGCAAAGCGGTAAAACAAATCTAACAGCATATTTATTATAATGAAATGCTGGATTAATGTAACAAAATAGGTAATGTAATAGGAGCTTAGGATAGACCTTACCGGAGAAGCACTGATAGCAGTGCCTGCCGTTAGGCAAAATGCAAGGAGAAATACAAAGTTCGCAACCATTGTGACAGATCAACTACATCTGATATTCAATCTAGACGATCTTTTATAGAGAATAATTTTGCTAAGTAACAATGAATCCGCTAGTTTTCAAGATAGCATGATCTTTTCGAGTGTTCTTTTTGCGTATCATAGTTCAATGTCTTATTTTGTTGGTATTGAAGTGCCTTAAATATTCATCAAATATTGGATAATGTTTTTATCTTATTTTAAGTATATGTTATCTTAAACAAATATAAATTTTAGATGCAATATTTCTTATTCACTGAGAATATTCCTTTTGATGAATGGAAAATATTAAATATCCGTTATTTACGAAATATTCAATACACATTTTTTATGTACCTTAGATGTAATATTTTTGCTCAGTAAAATCTAAAAATAGTGTTTGAAGTTATAACTAAATTAAGCCAATACTATAAACCGACAAATTTGTATCATTTAACATCAGTTTTGTCTAAAATGACATAAAAAATGTGAAATTTTATGTACCGTATGGCTGTTCCATATGAATGCGGTAGGTAACAGAATTTAACGAACTGTGGTTGGCAGATAAAAAATGTATCAAACTTACTTGTTTACCGATAATTGTAATGTGCCTTCATCAATGATTAAAATTTCAATGTTTCCGTCTGGGTCCTTGAAAAAAGCTCAAATTACGCGCAAGAAACAGTTTTGGCATGCGATTTTATTTTTGCCCCGTTTTCGCTTGGGGGTGGCCTGCCACCAGCGCTGTCACAGGTGGTCCTATATGGCTAGATCTCACCCTTTTTAAGATGGAGTTGCACCTTGGACATTTAGAAATATGGACCGTTTTTCCTCTAACACACCATTTTATATGCAACTCTGCCAAATAAATTTTGGAAATTTGACACGTCTTCTGACTTAAAACGTTTCTGTATAGAGAAGAAGATGCAGGATATGACATTTCATTTACTTTTGGAGTCCAAGCTTTCATTGTGTGTTTTGCTTGAATGAAAAAGCTTTGGGATTTTAGTTTGAAATGGTAATTCATTTTGATCATATGAAATTGATAGATATGGAAGATCTGCAGTTTTTATTGTATTTTTTCAATTACAAAAACTTGATAAAATCTCCATAAAAATTTTGTCAAAACTGTCATTTTTGATACCCTTGCCCTTTTAAACATAAAATCTGACAGGGAGCCTGCAGAGCCCATGGCAACACGGCTTCCTGCCGAGAATCACTTTCCGCCATTATTTTTATCCAGCTCGGCAACCCGGCATCCACTTGGCTATTTCCCTTGTGTTTGGTGTTTGTGTGTTTTGCATCTGTGATTTTGCTTGATAGATAAGTTAAGGTACATATTTCACTTCTATAAGTTATAAATAAAAGCGGCAATTCTCTTCACAGTAAGAACTATCG